AGCTAATTTTCTAACTCTTCATTCTAATAAAAGTCAGAATTAAAATGCGGTTGTCTATATACCTATCCGTAGAATATGATTAGTAATTCATTCAAATCTAATGTTCAGTAGGTAACGTAGATTCAATATCGTCTGGTCTACTTCATCAACCTATCAGATGCTAACTTATCTTCAGGGTGCTCAAATTTCCTATTTTACTCTATAAGGTACTCTGTTATTGTTCATGTGTTACTAGTTTAAGTTATTCTTCAATTTCTGAGTAAGTGTATGTTCATTCCAATCGTTTCTTCTATACTAGTAGTGTGTTGTGCTTTTAGTCTGAACCGTGTAGACTGTCTGACTGGTTATCGAGCCAAAAGAAATGACTGTTTGAGAAGTTGGTGATATTACGGGAAATCAGTCGCAGTCGCTCAGTTGAATACGTCTCTCCTGCCTTTGGAGCTCTCAAGAGTATTTTATTAACCTTTATCTGTGTTTGCTCTTACCTTTCATAGTCAATTTCCTTTTCTCCATCTACCTTTTCTTTGCATTTTGCTGTGAAGTGTGACAGCTTGACCTGATGCATTATCATCTATCAACATAGGACTGGTCCATATCGCCTAGAGTCTCTAATCACTGGCTTCTCTTGTCCCGCAAACCCCAACTGGTTAGTCTGGATCGCGCCCCACATGGATCGAACGAACAATCAAAGACTTCATACCAAATGAAACCTGCTTTGTTCTGACGTCATTGACATTGTAACTGCAAAATTCGCCTCACAATTTGGTTAAAAGAATAAAGAAATAAAAATTTTCCCAGTTTAAATAGAACGTTATTTTGAAACTATACAGCAGCTAACCTAAAGATGAGAATAAAATAATTCATAATGTTCAATGAGCAAATTATTTTCTAGAGGGCTAAATGAATGTTTCTATTTAACTTTATCAATTCAAACCACCAACTGAAGCGAAAACCATACATTCTTATCAAATAACAATAAAGCTTAGTACGACCTATTACTACTTATTATTTCCAAAAGCCCTACGCTAACGTTATAAAGTTGACCGATTGTACTGAGCATGTCATCACTACAGTCATCATCAATATCAACACACGACTAGCCATTACTGCGTAACAGTTCAAGTTGCCACAGCTCATATCACCATATCAAGTAAAAAAGCAGTCAAGTGAGAGATGAAGGGGAAAAAAATTCAGTCAAAAGAAATATAAAGTACGAAAAGAGAGAAAGGAAGAATGAGAAAATGGTGAGATTCGGTATAGCGTCGTTGAGATGAGGATAATGTGTGTATATATCTGCGCCACTGACATCGGTTCTCAGCCATGTCATCACCTAGAGTCTCCAACCACTGGCTTTTCTTGTCTGGCGGCCCCGATGCATTTATGTGTCATTTACGTTGATTTGTATGTAAACAGAAAAATAACCATTAGTTTTCGAGAGTTGATACATTTATATACATGATCTCAGGAAAACGATCTCATTCCGTCCTATATTTTCTGGACAATATATGTGACATCCAGCCAAATGCAGTTTGTGCGCCTTCGTGTTAATCTAATTCACTAATATGCAATTAATTTAATATAATGTTATCAGTTTTGACTATGATGCTACTCAGCTCCTTTTTTTTTACTATTTAGCTTCGATCTCTTATATACAAAGTTCTTGATCATGGTCGTTTCCATTACCGTTCATTGACGGATTCCGAAGAACCCCTTTCTCTAGCAAACAAATCCTCCGTAATATTCTCTGATATTGATGATGATGAATACTTATTGGAACTTGTGCGTGGAGGTGATGCTATTTTAGAAGACCAAACAGATGTCCCAAGTGGAAGGTGAGTCGTATACGTTGGTTTCATACAAAAGTGTATCAGCTACCACTTGTACAGGTATGCACTGTATGATCACTTAACGGTGTGGCCCAGAGAGATGAATTTCAATCACTGGGTCACAGCGTCGAGCCCCGCTCACCAGCCGTCACACAATTGCTGTGGTTCATTGCGTATTGAACGAATGTACACAAGGTGGCTGAGTGCGTATTGTATTATTATCATTACTGTTATTTATTATTTATATAAATGTTAGCGCTTCCCTCTTATCCGGCGACCTTCATCACCTTAAACTGAGTTTGACTAGGTGCATTCCATAAGTTTTCTTAATTGCTTTTTATAGAGACTGTACACCGTATTCTCAGCGAAAACATTCCATCACTAATGCATACTCAGACTAAAGACTCGTCAAAATCAGAACTCGGTTATTCCAGCAATAAAAGATCAGTCTCAGTGAAACAATATATATTGAGGATGTATTTCCGAATATTGAGTTGCTTAGCAAAGGGACAGTAGGGCAACATTACTAAATGGATAGCGTTTTGGATATAATTTATTGTCCAGATTCTTATCAGGTAGTTTTACAACTTTAGGAGATCGCTTATGTAGTTCTAATCCCGTTTCTTTGTAATAAGAGTAGTAGAACTTTCCATATGTTTGGAAATAGTGCAGAACCACTTATATTGTATGTGTTTGGTGTTAATTCGATTAAAAAAACATTCGAGCATCAATCTCTCCTTCCACTCAACTAAGTTTTTAATACTGTTGCTGTGTCCTGCCGTATTGTGTACAATCGCATGCACAACTATAATTGAGTGTTTCTTTGGACTTTATTTTATTAGGATCTACTAACCATGACTTCGCAAAATTTCTGTTAAGCCTAGTTTAATTTGGCTGACTACTTTAGCCTTTCATTTATTGCACGGAATTCGGTAAAATAAGTTATTTTGCCTGGTTGGATCAGTAGAATCTTTTAACTTATAAGGCTTGTGTCTAACTGACTTTGTAGTTGTAAATGCCACTCTAATCCTAACCTTGTTGAGAGTTCTTAATGCCTCTTAGGTACCTTCTTTGCATGGTAGTACATTGTAGACGCGTTTTGAATCCTCAAGTGACAAAGTAGAGAGAAAAAATCTATTTTACTAGTTTTTACAGAAAAATTCACTGCGTAAACCTTTGTAACAACTTCAAGCTTGACAAGTTGCGTGATATCTTCTTGAAGATACTAATTCTTACAGTGGGCAGTCGTTTGCTTAACTTTATGAAATGAATCGATGTTTCAACTGCATTCACGTCCTTCCTTTACTTCATAATACCCACATTTGATTCAAGTGTGGTGATTTATTGACTTGGGGGTGGTAAGCGCGCTATTTTGCGAATTCACAAAGGTACGGATACGTGGACCATTTTATTATGACGCAGTTGCTCAGTGGTAACTTGCTCGCTGCGAAGCCCGAAGGACCTAAGTTAGGTTTTCAGTGGGATCTTGGGTGCGCATTGCTTGGAGCCCCATACTACGACAAAACAGCCACTCGGTGCCCCGTTGTTTTTCAGTGGTTCTCCAACTGATGTCAGTCCGTGATGAATGTCACGTTTGAATTTATGGGAATGAAAATATTTTTGTTTGATTTAATAATCTAAATTTTTCCAAGTGAAAGTTAAACTGTGCTGGTCACTTATCTACTTGGCTTTCGTTTCTTGTTGTTTTGTCATTGTATTTGTAGAATTAGATGACATTTGGAGTTTTTCACGCAGTATTGTTTTGTTGCCTCGGTGATATACTCCATTCATTTTGCATGTGTATTATCTACTAATTACTTTCTTTTTTAGTATTATTGTACTTCAGAAACTTGATGGAACAGATGTTTCGCAAGTAGCGAATCCTGAAGAGTTTTTCCAACAGGTCAGGACATCTGAACGGGAACATCAAAAACTGATGGGTCAAATCCGACTTCAGGAGCAAGAAATTGGTACGCTTTTATCACTGCTCCTAAATGTAACGTGTATGGTACATAATAACAAGTTCCAGTATTTTATGTATCTCATTATTAATCTCTATCCATTATGTTTCAGTGGCATGTTTCTTAGTGTGATATACTGTAAATAATCTCTGTGCCTTTGATTTTCTTACAGCCCGACTTCGCACATCCGTTGCAGACTTCATAGAAATCAAAGATAAGCTGTCAAAAGCAGTTTTAAGTATGGAAGATTATCGACGACGGTACAGAGATGAAAGAGATAGAGTCGATTCTATGGCTCGAGTATTAGACCAACAAGCATCTGTTCTAGATGCCTGTCGCTCAGCACTTCGTCAGACTTCTAGTCGCATTCATAATCGTCACTTGACTAGTGAATCATCCAAGCAGTCATTCAAACGTTCTTCATCTCCGTGTTCAGTAGCAAGTAACAGGGATCTTGTCAAACCTTATAAGAAAACCAAAACTCCAAATCCATCCAGAATTGCTTCGGATTCGTTTAATGTAAGCTCAGCTTCTTTTGCTTTTGTATTTTGTTTGTGAAGGCATACTTCATATCACTTTTTACTTTCACAGGATGAGAATTCAGCTCACAGCTGCCACGATGTTGATGCACCCAAAGACACTAAAGGTGAAAAAGAAAAGCCGAAACCATTGTATCTAAATCATCTTCCCTAATCGCAGGTGTTGATTCCAATATCCAAGAAAATGTAGGTCTTTTAAAAGAAAATTATTTTCGTCTGTATATTGTTATCGTTTTAAAAATGTTTTTTTCGTAGACGCTGCATTCTTGGTTCAATGAACAGTTTAACAACTACCCTTTATATATATATATATATATATATATATATATATATATATATATATATATAGTGCAGTTTCTCCTAGTAGCGTTTTGTTCATAATTTCACCGTAATGTAAGATAGTGATTGTTGTACTGAGTCATTTTCAAATTTTGGATTGCGAGTCATGAGCCCTCACTTGATAACCGTGTACAGGAAATTGTATGTGCGAAACCCTGTGGGGAGTTTTCATTTGTGTTAATAGCAACGGTTGTATTCCATCATTGAATGATTATTCCTGCCTAACTTTATCATCGATGTACCGACTCATAATGCCCGTACATATCTCAAACTTCTCAAGGATTGTTTGGTTTGATTTATAAGATGTAGCGAATGTAGTCATGTTTAGCATTGGGACAATACTGACGAAATTGATAGTCGATCAAGCGGCTTGTAAAGACATGAATATGTATAGTATGCGTTTCGAACTTGTCGAAGAGTAAATAAGCTTCACGACTGATCTTCACCGACTCCTATTTTGAGGGTAAAGAATGAAGTAATGAAATGTAGTAACTACTTCACTCATTTCAGAAATTGCAACAGCTGCGACTACTTAGTCGGTAACGGAATCTGCAGCATATGTAAGCCCCGTTTATCGGTTGATAACCCATGGCAACTTCGACTTTGGTGAGGTGAGTGACTTTAATGGTCATTCTAGGAATTACTGGAATAATCAGATGGTTTTCTCTATTTTATAGGAAAAAACTTATTATACAACCGTTATGCTTGGTTGTTCCAGTGGTTGCCAAGGTGACCCTTGGAATAAACTTGGTGAGGTACATATACACCCAGCAGCAGTCCTGTGTTGTGAAGTATGATAATTTGAACTGGTGCAGTTTTGTGCAAGTTTTTAGTTATATGTCCATCTGATTGAGTTGTATTATTGGTCTTACTTCAGAAAGTGTGTGACTATGAATGAGAAACATTCACTCTTGTTATTTCCGAATCACCATATCAGCATCCAATCTACGACATAGAAAGATGCTTCACTCACAATTGCTACATACTCACTTTGATAACCTCAAGTAACTATATACTCAAAAGCTTGACACTACCTTGAAGATTATATTGGGTGTTGTGTATTTTGTCAGGCGGTTCAGTCCGAAGACTTAACGATTGGCAATTCACTAACAGATTTCGACTGCCATTTACTTTTGTACGTTCCAGAATAACAATTCACATTCAAGTAGTCCATAGGATTGCAAGATATGTACAATCCCATGTATGGCTCCAAATAATTGCATTTTTTCTGATTAGACTACTGTAATACTAATGGTATTACTTACTGAGTAACTGCCAAATGATCTCTGCTTTTATTATTGAACTAGATAGTCTGAGGCTGTTGGTGAAGTAACGTAAATCGGTTAGTCTTTGATGAATATGTATAAACTTGGAACTCAAGGTCGATCCACAATTGTTGATCTTCATCATTTCTATACATATTCCATAATTTGTGTTCTATACTGCTTTTATTTTGTTTTCCTTATGCTTCCGGGTGTAGTTTTACTGAGTTTTTTTTTCCTGATTACAGCTGGTTAATGGACTAAAAAGTGAAGAAGATTTAGTTGCTTGTGCAAATAACGAGAATATTTCTGAAGCGTCGGAAGGCAAATTAGCTCCGGTCCTAATGGAAACGGAGTCTTCAGTAACAGTACGTTTCTCCCTTCCTTTTTTTTAATATCACTTTTTAGGCGTGAACAAATGAAAGTGAAGGTGCATTCCACGGCTAAATTACTAGTCATATTTAACTTGGATTTATTACAAGCCGTGGTCGAAAAAACACTTTTAATATTCCCTACCAGTGAAAATACACGTTCGTTTTTATTTCGTTTGTTTTGCTTTCGCTTATCGTTTATCAGGGCGCTTACTAATCTCGGTAACACGCGGCTTCAATAGTCAGTAACGCAATACTAATCCAGCGATACAATTCGATTCTGCTTGTAACTCAAGGAATGGTTTAGGCCCATATCTTGTACGTATGTATTATAAATATGTTTTCGCGTCTGAATGTCTTTTCCTTTAATTTAAGCTTGTTTTCGTACTATTTCCATGATGACTTCCAACTTAAAATCAATTGATAAATCTCCACAAACCTCCAGATAGACTTAATCTAGCCCTCATTGGTGATTAGCTGCGACAGGCGATTCTCAGAGTTTCTATGAGAATTCGTGACCAGTGGATAAAACCAAATCGAACTTGAGGGCAGTTACTCAACGACGACATCGTGAACTGACAGAAGTAGAAAACATAGACCATTGGACTCCGACCTAGTGGCTTGATGGTAACGTAACTGCCACGGAACTTGAAGGTCCAGGGTTCGATCCCTTTCGGAGTCTGGATTTTCGGGAAATGAAATTCATAGTGGGAAACAAAGTGAATTTGCACAATGAATTCACTAAACCCAGTAGAATAGTGGTCTGTGTCTCCCAGCTACTGTAGAATGTTTTTTCTTGCCATCCCCCTTGTGTTAACTGGTATTCTTTCGACGCAGTATACAATTTGGCCATAGTAGTGCGTATTGTCCAACGTAAAGTGCTAATGGAGACCGAATGAGCACTCGAAACACAGGACTTCACAAACGTATTTGTGGCCGAGTGTTTCTCATAAGCTAGTGGGACTAGTACTACCTCAGGTTGTTCGCAACCTCATAAATAATTGACACTGAACTAAATATAACTACGACCAAAACAGAGGTCACCTGTTCTAAGTATACTGAGTTACAGTCCAGGCTGTGACACCTCATAGGCACATCAACGCAGAAAACACCAAGATGACAGATGAATAAGAGACAAACTGGAAAGTATAGGAAACATTTTACGATAGCGAAATCCGGCATGATCATTGAGACGATAATCAAAGCATCCATACGTGCCACTTAGCTATACCACGTCTGAGAGCTCACCATCCACATCGACATGAACCGACCAATCTTTACTGCGTAACGGTCCAAGTTGCCACAGCTCATATCACCATATCAAGTAAAAAAGCAGTCAAGTGAGAGATGAAGGGGAAAAAAATTCAGTCAAAAGAAATATAAAGTACGAAAAGAGAGAAAGGAAGAATGAGAAAATGGTGAGATTCGGTATAGCGTCGTTGAGATGAGGATAATGTGTGTATATATCTGCGCCACTGACATCGGTTCTCAGCCATGTCATCACCTAGAGTCTCCAACCACTGGCTTTCTCTGTCCCGCGGACCCCAATCACCCAGTCTGCATCACCCCTCATACACGGCCCAAACCAACAGTCAAACACTTCATACGTCGAGACCATGTTTTAGTCTGACCACATCGGGCCTTTTTCCAGCCTGAAACTACTTCAACCAACATTGTGTGATGAGGTAATCGGCGACTAGGCATACGTAACACGTCCCCAACCATCTCAGTCGACGAAGGTACACAACCTCGTCAGCTGACTCACCTCTTCTCCCTAAAACTCTACTCCTGACTTCTGCGTCACTCACCTGATGACACCACCGAATACGGCCTATACTACGAAGGCAACAGTGGTCAAACACCTGAAGCCTTCTCATGTCTTTCTCCACCTTCAATGGCCATGTTTCACAGTCATACAGTAGAACAGACCGGATTGCTGTGCAGTACATGCGACCCTTAATAGACAATCGGATATCACGGCGGCGCCACAGGTGGCGTAAGTTGGCGAAAGTCAATCAAGCCTTTTGTATTCGTGCAGAAATTTCATCGACCACTGAGCCACAAGGGCTGGGCTGGTCCTACTTCCCAGGTAAGTGAAGTGGTAGACACACTCAATCACTACACTCTGTTGTTAGCCATGGCACCGTTGAAGACCAATCCTGGAGCAACAATTTGCATTTGGGTGGCGAGAAACGCATCCCAAACATTCTCAAATTGCCACTCAGTGTCCAGAAGATTCTGCATCTTGTCAGAGTCTTCACCAAACAGGACTATGTCATCTGCATATTCTAGGTCTAACGAAAATTCTCCTGCGATTAGGTCAAACTCTGTGTAGTCAGGTGATGAGAGGGAGACAGACCTCTATAAAAATATCTATGACAAAATTGAATAAGAATAGAGACAATGGGCACCCTTGAAGGACACCGCTCGACGAGTACAGCTACCTGGACATCTCACCATAGGCTCTAGCATGCCCGCAAGTGTTCGAGTAGAAACCTTCAATAAGGTGGTGTACTTACTCGACACATCTTTCAGTGAGAGACATTGCCATAAAACTTCTCGACCAACGGAGTCGAATACCGCCACCTTCAGGTCGAGAAATACAGCTAGTGTCAGGCATCGGTAAGTGTGCCTATGTTCCAGGACCTGATGCAGGGTGAATATTTGGCCAATACACCCGCGGTCGGGTCTAAACCGTGTATGGTTTTCTCGGGCTCGCTGTTCCCGAGCTCCACTCAGGCGTCGGAGAATTATGGGACCTAGAATCTTAGACACTATGTTCGTCAGGCTGATTCCTCTATGGTTATCACAAGAGGACTTTTCGCCTTTCTTGAGGACTGGGATAATCAGTGATTTAGACCAGTCAGAGGCTATCATATCTGATTCCCATATACTGGTTAACACTTCCGTTAACCTGACTAAGAACACTCTACCACCACCCTTGTATACCTCAGGAGTTAGTCCGTCTGGTCCTGCTGCCCTTCCTCGTTTCAGGTTACCCACAGCTTTCTCGACTTCTGCTAGTGTTGGAGAGCCTATTTCAATGTTCCATTCACGATTCGATTGGATAGCGAGCAACGCAGTGGTGGCAAGAGGCCAGTTAAACTCTTCCTAGAAGTGTTTTGTCTATCGTCACAGTCGTCTCACCTGCGGGTGAATTGCAGATCCGTCTTCCTCCACTATAGCCTCACTAACTGTTGTTGACCTTTCCAACCAGTTTTCTTAACAAGTCTAAATAACTGTCTACTGTTACCAATCGCCACCGCCTTTTCCATCTCTTTAGCCTTCGTTGCCCACCACTGTTCGCAGTCGTTGCGAAGACTTTTTCTCAATCTACTTTTAAGTTGTGCTCGCTCTTCATTGTACTCAGAGCTTGCAGAGATGCGTTCACGTGCATCCATTAGTTCGGAAAAAGCTGCTGATATCCACCGGCTCTTTTTAGCCACTATTTCGGAGTCGGCTACGGTCTTCAGTGCTGCTTTTACAGCAGACTGGAGATGGCACCAAGCTTCTTCTGCATGAGTGATAGTGTTCTGTTCCGATAACTGCCTAGTCAGTTTTTCACTGAACACGGCTTTGATGTTTTCGTTGTTGAGATGCACTCGTAGTGGTTCTGTTGCCAAATGTTTCTTACGTCGATTGAGTCGCAGGCATATATGCGCTCGGACCAATGCGTGGTCGCTATCCAAACACGTACTCTAGAAGGAGTGGCAGTCTCCCGCCGATCATCTCCAGTGCTGACTGATATCAACGTGGTCTATCTGTGTCCGTCGCTGAGTTGAGCTCGGTGGACGCCACGTCAAACAGTGTCTTTCTTTATGTCTGAGATTTGTGCTAGCTAAAAATAAGCGGTTATCTGAGCACAGTTGTAATAGGCAATCACCGTTATTTGTACATCCCATCGGGACTCCGAAAGTGCCACCTAAGTGCCTTTCTGCCTCACTCAGTCTACCCGCCTATGCACTGAAATCACCTGCAACAATCACCACTTCCGAATGTTTGGCTTTCGAGAAGAGGCTAGACAGTTTACGGTAGAACTCGTCCTTCACTTCATCCGAACTACAGTCAGTGGATGCGTAAGCAGAGATTACAGAGAGACAACGGCGAGTCTCACTATTCCTTTCAGTTCTCGCTGTGCCGTTCAGTCAGATAGCGCAGAGGCGACTATCAACTGGGATCCAGTCTAGTAGTGTTTTCTGCCCTAGTGCTTAGTGCTATACCTACACCTGCAAGACCACGAGAGCCAGAGATCGAATCTCCAAAAACTCGAAAGGTGAATTTTGCGGATTCACCAGATTGGCCAGGAGATGTCAGGTAAATAACCACACTTGGGTCCTGTATGCGTGTCTCACAAACACAGCACACATCCATGGCCCGAGTTGCTAGAGTCTGCCAACGAAACCTGTTGACTAATTTGAAGGAGGGTGAGGACATTGAAGGCTGCAATATGTAATTTGGAATGTGGTTTAAGGAGACCAGGGATGCTGTTTTTTGGACTCGGATTGTTGTCAAAGGCTGCAGAGCTAGGAGAGATTGAAGATGATGTAGTATCGTTAGTCGAGAGACGTGAAGGAAGATTAGAGGGTAATGATGAGGTATGTGGATAGCAGTCTGAAGAAACTTGAGTGCTGATGAAGGTGTGAGAGGGGTTGACACTTCCCGGCTGCCCACACCGTGGAAGGCTATTTCTTATCAAGGTACCTGAAAGAGATTTGTGTGACCGCAGAGCCCATCGGACATTTGCTTGAGGCCTGTCACACGTGGCCTTTTGTGTATGATTATTTTGAACTTTTGTTGTTTTGGAGTCGGATGGTCGGAAAGAAACGACAAATAAACCAACACCGCTGGCTCGGTAGACCGTGGGGCATGGTGGATATGTTTTATTTTGGGGGCTGACCTTTTCTAACCTCCCCTCCCCTCCACTGAGAAGGCAGCATCAAGATGGAACTGCTGGTCATCCAAAGGAAACACCTTACTGTTGTTACACCCCATCCAGCTAACAGCAGTACGACTTCGCCCTCAGACCCCCATCATAGTGTAGCAATTTACACTATAACGGTAACTGCTTTTCGTCTAACCACTATCCAACAGACCTTTCTGGTATGGTAGGACCTCGAGGGAACAAGTTTTCTACCAGCACAGCTCTTTGGGCCATTGTGATATGCAAGC